TTTACAGAGAAGGGGCCCCTCCTAAGGCATGTGGCCAGCCGTCACCAGGAGGGCCGGCCCCACTTCTGCCAGATCTGTGGCAAGACCTTTAAAGGTGCCTGGACAAGCTTTTGGGGAAGGCAAGGGCGGAACCATCTGTTTCTCTGGGGCCTGAGTTGAGGGTCTATGGGAAGGAGATTGGGGCAACAGTGGTTTTCAAACACTTGTTCTTAGCAGCAGGACCTTCTTGCTAGTGAATCTCTTCATTCCCTGTGACCTGAAGTGATCAGAATGGAGGGTGGGGTGTGGGGTAGGCTGGGGTCCTGTCCAACAGCAACCGTGGTGGGTACTGGCAGGGCCCAGGGAGCAGTTGCAAACACTGGTCCCAAGGACAGTGGAAGCTGAGCCCCTTGCTGACTGCTCTGCCACCTCCTTGGTCCTTCTTTCCCAGCCTCCTACCACTTTCCACATGGGCCCTGGGCTCCTGATCTGATTGGGGCCAGTCCTTTCCATGCTCCCACCTCCCCTGACGCTGGTGGCTCTTCCCTCCCGTAGCTGTGGAGCAGCTGCGCATGCACGTCAGGCGGCACAAGGGTGTGAGGAAGTTCGAGTGCACGGAGTGCGGCTATAAGTTCACCCGGCAGGTAGGTCCCACTTAGCCCCTTCTCTCCCTGGGGCTCTCTCCTGTCCTGAGCTCACCCTTCCCCCAGGCCCACTTGCGGAGGCACATGGAGATTCACGACCGTGTGGAGAACTACAACCCACGGCAGCGCAAGCTCCGCAACTTGGTCATTGAGGACGAGAAGATGGTGGTGGTAGCGCTTCAGCCTCCTGCAGAGCTGGAGGTGGGCTCTGCCGAGGTCATTGTGGAGTCACTGGCCCAGGGCGGCCTGGCCTCCCAGCTGCCCAGCCAGAGACTGTGTACAGAGGACGGCTTCACTGACCCAGCTGTCCTGGAGCCCTCACTCATCATCACAGCTACTGTCCCCGAGGACTGTGACACATAGCCCATCCTGCCCAACCTTGCCCACTTGGCCCCAGCTTCCAATAAACCCTTCGGCTTTGGACTACTGACTTATTTCATCCTGTCCAGTTGTCCATTCCCCAGGGCCCTGGAGCCATAGACCTGGACTCTTAAATTCTCTTAAGTTCTCTTTTTCTACCCCTGCCCTTGGGATGCAGTAGCTCCCTGCCCAGGTGTCTTTGGGCTGCTCATTAGGAGGCCTCAGCTGAGAGACTCGGGGAGCTTTAAGGGCCAAGCCACTGGCCCTGGCTACTCTCCATATCAGTGTTCTATTTCTCAGAACTGAGAGTGCTGGCCAGATAGAGCAGGGTTCCTCTTTGAGCTAGGGGGTACCAGCTGGTGAGAATGGAATCCACTACTCAACGCCTGGAGTCAAAGCCAAGTGGCCACGACCACTCCATGATGGCCTTGCTGGCCAGAAACAAGACTCAGGCCCAGTTACAGAGCAGCCAAGCATGCCTGGGTGCCTGAGGAGGGCTTGTGACTAAGCAAGTTCTGGGTCTAGGCATGCTTGTAGAAAAGACCCTTCCTTGGGAGAGGGAGACCTAGCCTGGCCTCAGTGTCCAGTGACCCAGGGTGCACATGAGGCCTTGAATGGTGAGATGCCTTGTGGTCCCCAGGTTTGGCAGCCATGGGTCCTAGAGCAGGTTGCCTGTGTTTAAATTTCTTCCCAACTCCTTGATAGCTGTGGGGCCCTGAGCAAGTTGCTTACTGCTTCGTTTCTTTAATCTTCTGATGGAATTCTTATATGCTTCATAGGTAAGGATTAAATTACCTGGAACTAGATACTAATTCACCCCCAAATTTATCTGGGGGTGGGAGAATCTGCTGTCACGTGCCTGGCCCAGTTGGTACTGGCTGTGAGTTGGGCACTGGGTTCCTCCTAGGCTTCTGTACAGTTCTAAGTGTAAATGTCCCAGAACCAGGTCAGAGTTTCAAGGTTTTTGGTTTTTTTTTTTTGAGACAGTCTCATTATGTCACCCTCAGTAGAGTGCTGTGGTATCACAGCTTACAGCAACTTCCAACTCTTGGGCTTAAGTGATTCTCTTGCCTCAGCCTCCCAAGTAACAGGGACTACAGGTGCCCACCACAGCGCCCGGCTATTTTGTTATTGCAGTTGTCATTGTTTAAATGGCCTGGGCCAGGTTCAAACCCGTCACCCCTGGTGTATATGCTATGGGCACCAAGTCTTTTTCTTTGTGACAAAATCTTTGTCACCTTGCAGCCATCATAGCGCACAGCAACCTCAAACCCCTAGGCTCAAGTGATCTCTCACCTCAGCCTCCCGAGTAGCTGGGTACTCCTAGATAATCCCAGCACTCTAGGAGGAGGTGTGAAGATCCTTTGAGCTCAGGAGTGTGAGATCAGGCTGAGCAAGAGTGAAACCCCATCTCTACTAAAAATAGAAAAACTAGCTGGACATGGTGGTGGGCGGCTGTAGGCCCATCTACTGGGGAGGCTGGGTTGCTTGAACTCAGGAATTTGAGGTTGCTCTGAGCTAGGTTGCTGCCGTGACACTTTAGCATGGACAACAGTGTGAGACTCTGTCTTTAAAAACAAAACCAAAAAAAAACCTGTCTTGCCCAAAGTAAGTTCTGGATCGCTAGTAATGATGGTCATAACCCCAGTCACTTCAGGGCCATCCTCTGGTTACCTTCCATCACTGGAACATTTCCTGGAACTCCAGTGCCCTGTGCTCAAGCCCTGGAGTTGGAGGTCAGGGAAAAGTTTTTCCTAATTTAGAACCAGAACCCATCTAACCATCTTTCCTTTTATTCCTCGACCATGGGGAGCCCAGGTTTCTGACTCCCTGTGTAGGTCATGAGAGCTTCATATGTTTGGGGAAGAATATTACAAAAGTTTACAAAAGACAGTAGTCTGAGATTCTTTAGTCTTGAGAACATTAAAAAAAGAAAACAAAACAGAGTGTCCCAGACGTCACCATACACAGGGAAAATGGGAAATGGTAGCTAAATTGTACCTTTTATTTACAAAATATTCATTATAAAATTTTACAAAGAACTTTGAAAATGGCTCAGCACCTGTAGCTCAGCAGCTAGGGTACCAGCTGCATGCACCAGAGCTGGTGGGTTCAAACCCAGCCCGGGCCTGCCAAACAATGACTACAACCAAAAAATAGCTGGGTATTGTGGTGGGTGTCTGTAGTCCCAGCTACTTGGGAGGCTGAGGTAAGAGAATTGCTTAAGCCCAAGAGGTTGCTGTGAGCTGTGACATAGTGAGACTCTCTCAAAAAAGAAAAAAAAAATTTAGACAATATTCTTTGTGTTGGCCATTTTGCAAAATTTTGTATTTTGTAACTAAAGATACATTTTTTTTTTTTTTGTAGAGACAGAGTCTCACTTTTTCGCCCTCGGTAGAGTGCAGCGGAGTCGCTCCAGCAACCTCCAACTCCTGGGCTTAGGCGATTCTTCTGCCTCAGCCTCCCAAGTAGCTGGGACTACAAGCGCCCGCCACAATGCCCGGCTATTTTTGGTTGCAATTTGGCCGGGGCTGGGTTTGAACCTGCCACCCTTGGTATATGGGGTTGGCGCCCTACTCACTGAGTCACAGGCGCCTCCCACTAAAGATACATTTGACTAGCATCTCCTATTTCCCTATGCGTGGCAATGTTAGGGAAACCTGTAATTTAAAAGGACAAATTCCAGGCTTGGCGCCTGTGGCTCAAGTGGCTAAGGCGCTAGCCACATACACCTAAGGTGGAGGGTTTGAATCCAGCCCGGGGCCCACCAAAACAATGATGGCTACAATCAAAAAATAGCTGGGCATTGTGGCGGGCACCTGTGGTCCCAGGTACTTGGGAGGCGGAGGCAGGAGACTCGCTTGAGCCCAAGAGTTGGAGGTTGCTGTGAGCTGTGATGCCACAGCACTTTACCCAGGGGGACAGCTTGAGGCTGTCTCAAAAAAAGTATAAGGGCAAACTCCAGCCTCAAAATGTTTGCCTTTCCAGTGCAGGGCTGGCCTCTTCAGATTCTGATGGGCTCTACAGATGTGAGAAATGTCCCAAGCTTGATGGCTCCTGTGGACTTGCAGCCTGGCCTGGGGTCCTCCTTCATCTTAAGGGCTCCACCTCCCAGGTCCAGGGCTTTTCTTAATGGAGGTGCAGTAGAGAGTGTCATTACCACCCTGCAGGAGCCAGGCAGGGGTGAACACCAGTGGAGCTGAACCAGGCACCTGCCCCTCTGTGTTGCCTTGTGTTGTAGTGATCTGACATGGAAGGACAGGGAGGCCTCTGTAGATGGCAGACCCCTCAGACCTTTAGCATGCACCCTGCTTTCTCTTGCCACCTGCCCCCTTCTGTTAGGCACAGGGGCCCTCCCCACTCCTCCAACATCTGGCCTCAGCTCAAAGAATTCTCAGAGGACATAGTGGAGAGATGACAAAGGCAGTGACACAAATGTAGGAAACACCTTTATTTGAAAAGTATTGAAGGCATCCTAAAACCTGAAACAGGATTCGGGACTTGTAAGCCCACAGAATAAACAAAAATAAATACCCACATCTGTCCTATCCTTGGGTAGGACTGGATGGACACTAGGGAAGGTGTCCTTTATTACTGGAGTCTTTGAAGTCATATAAATATAGAATACATTATGGTAATCAGTATTAAATAGTTAACGGAATTTTCATAACTTAATTTGTAGAAAGACCAGATCCTATGTAACATATAGGAACGGTCCCATCCCCAGGCAGCCCAGCATCTATCCTGAAGTAGTGTAAGTAGCGCCGGCCCCATATACGGAGGGTGGCGGGTTTGAACCTGACCCTGGCCAAACTGCAACAACAAAAAAAAAATAGCTGGGTGTTGTGGCAGGTGCCTGTAGTCCCAGCTACTCAGGAGGCTGAGGCAAGAGAATCACCTAAGCCCAGGAGCTGGAGGTTGCTGTGAGTTGTGATGCCACAGCACTCTACCAAGAGTGACAAAGTGAAACTCTTGTCTCTTAAAAAAAAAAAAAAAGATACTGTTGGGGCCGGGGGACCTTATTAAAAAAAAAAGGAAAAAAAAAGTGGCAGCACTTGTAGGGTTGGAAATCAAGCAAACCTGCCTGACCTGTAGGTGGTGTGGACCCTACAGTCCAGAACTCATGGCAAAGAGGGGGCAGGGGGCCTGATCCTGGGTCCCCAGCTGGAGGGACCTGCTGTTGCTGGGGCTGGCACCCGCTCTCCTACATCCATGGTCTTCTCAGCCCAAAGACACAGGGTCCTGCTGGGGCTCCAGAGGGCTCTGTATGGGGTACAGAGACAGGAGATGGCACTGGCCCAGTAAGGCAGAACAGCAAACAAGCAAGAACCAGGGGCACTCTCACACAGATCAAGGCCTCCCAGCCCAACCTCCCCTGGGACACCAGGACAGTGTTCAACACTGACCAGACAAGGCATGCTTTTCCTGACACACAGTGCAGTTCTGGGGTCCATCAGTCCTGCATGCCTAAGCCCTGCCCTGCTGCTGTCTACTGCTGACAAAAGACCACAACAACCTCTGGGGGGCTCAGCAGCCTCCTAGGGAACTAAGTGAGGCTGTGGGAGGGGATTCCAGGACCTGGGGGTGGGAAGGGCAGGGGAGCTTACTCAGAACAGGAGGCCCTAAGGGAGCAGAGGACAAGCCCAGCTCTGCACCTTGGAACCTGAGAAAAGGCCTTGGGCATAAAACAAACAAGGATAGAGGGGTGCCTGGTCCCAAGAAGCCTCAGGCATGTTTCCCTGGAGCCTATGGGAACCACAGCTGGGCCTGAGGCCAGGACAATGCTGTCCCACTGTTTTCCCCCGCATTCCCACCAGTGCCTGGCATACAGCTGGTGTGTGGTCATGACCTATGTGTAGCAACCCAATAAGGGCTACCACAGACTGTGACCTGTCAGCAGGGACTCTGGGACAAGATGAGACCCAGTGTGCAGTAACGTACTGGGGCCCCTCAGGAGGTGAGGCAGGGCTCATGTACAGCCCTGCCAGGTGTCCTGGGAGAAATTAAGGCAACCACTCAAGCCATCTGGCCAGTAATGGGTTTAAGTGCAATTTGTTAAGTAATGGTGCTAAAACTATATTTTTCCTTGTGAGAACACAGGTCTTCAAGTTTACTAAGAAAAGGCAACTCAATAAACTCAGTGGCTTTTGTTCTAATGAGGAGATGCAGCCTAAATGCCCTAATCTCTAGAAAGGGAAACAAGGACAAAATCATGCACATTTACTGTGGGGACCTTGAGGGGCCCAAACTACCCAATCCACAGAAGCCTCTTGCTTTCAAGAGAAAACCAGTAAGTCCCAGACCTGTGGCATTTCCCTGGGACACATCCTACTACCTGCTCCTGGGACTGGGCCTTGAGTTCCTGCAGAAGGCTTTGGTGACAGCACTTTGTGGGCTTGGAAATCAAACAAACCTGACCCTGTTTCTCGCTCCCTTTTCTCCATTCCTTCTAAGGGTCAAACTGCAAGTATTCAAATGTTAGAACCAACCACCCCTGCCCAGGGCCTCCTTTAGAAGCTACACGACTACTCTTGGGCTCAGCATTTGCAGCTGTTTGCTGGACGGGTGTCAGTTGACAGACCCAACAGTGCCTCCCAGGAAGGAGCTATATATGACCCTGTGCTTCAGGCTTTCACCATCTACTTCACCTGCCTGGGACAAAGGCCCAGGGGAGGTCTCCAGGCCAGGTGAAGACACACTAGCCAAGGGAGACAGCACTGCCCTGGGGTGTCCTCTGGAGACAGGAACTCAGCAGGCCCCAGTGGACCCCTTCACAGTCCTGCTCAGGCCCCCGCCCTGTATTCAGCTTCTGGGAGCCCCACACCCCGATAAGGTGTCTGGAGTGAGCCCCCAGGAAAGGCACCCCGTCTGGGGAGCTGGCACACCAGGACACCCAGACTGGACATGGGGCTTGGGACCCTGCTGCAGCTGTCTGCTGATCACCAGTGCTCCAGGCTCAGGCCATTCTCAGCACCTCAAGGAAGAACACCTCCCCTTCACTTGTCACCCCCAAGTCATCATCTTCTCCCAAGGTAGGAGCAAGTAGGTCTAGGTGGTGGCAGCAGGGAGGGCGTGTGCTGCACAAGCAAGCTGGGCAGGGTGGGGGTGACCTCTGGGAGCCAAAGACGTAGGAGCAGGGAGGTGGCTCCTCCTCAACCGAGGGGGACATCACATCCTACCGTGGCCCCAGCAGCTGTGACTCAGGCTCCAAAACACAGAAACCTTGTAGGCAATGGATCCTGGGCTTGCTCAGCCATCCCAGAGCCTGTGCTTGTCTATGAAGGAGGTGCACCTCCTGCACTGAGGCCCTTGTTGGGCCAGGCCGGGGCTAGTGCAGCTCCTCAGGGTTCTGTGGTAGCCGGTGGCGGCCTGCATCTATGTCGTTGTTGCCACTGTCCAATTCAAAGCCACGCCCGCCTGGGAAGGTCTGTGGCATGAACTGGCGGAAGATGCTGACGCTGCTGTGCCAGAAGGTGGGCTCTGGAAGCCTCCCCACCACACTCCATGCCCGAGTCTCTGGGTCGTACGCCTCCACCACATCCGAGAGTTCAAATGTATTGTCATATCCCCCAGAGACGTAAAGTTTCCCTCCCAGGACAGCCAGGCTGCCCCCCACGTGTACCTGTGGGCCAAAGGGATGGGTGAGGAGAGGTTGGCAGCCCAGGCTGGGATCCTGTGGGAGACAAGGCATGCCCAGCCAGCCCCCCAGAGGGTAGTCCCAGCACTCCCTGGAGACAGTGGACAGGACAATCCTCTTTATTACACCTCAACTAGAACCAGGTCTGGCAGGTGGTCAGGGTGCAGGCTGAACCCAACACCTTATGTTATCCCTTGGAATCTCTGAGACAGCCTTCTGGAGTGGGCCCTACCGTCCCCTCCATCTTATGGATGGAAAACCAGGGATCACGTGGCTGACAGTGGCAGAGCTGGGACTCAACCCAAAGCCTGGCTCTGAACCACTGGCCAGGTGATCCCATCTTTTACACATTTGCCATAACAAGTGTCTGCAGCTTACGGTAGGGAAATATTAAGTCGCACTCCTGAAGGTGAGGATGTCACCAGAGTAGGTTTAGACATGTTAAGACAGTAAACAAGGCTGTGGGCCTTGGGCAGGTGTGGGGGTATATCTGGGACTAAGGAGATCACCTGTGTGGCCTAATGCCAAGAAGCCTCCCTCCCCCACTCTGGCCCCTGACACCACCACACTGCCAGGCTCAATAAGCAGAAAAGGGGAGACCCTGTTCAGAGTACACAGTGGGTGCTCAATAAATTTAACCTCAAGGCCGGTCCCTAAAGACCTCCTGCCTGATCTCATCTCTGCTCCAGCCACACTGGGCTGCCGACCCTTACCCAGGACACACCAGGGGCCTCTGCTCCAGGTGACTGGCCTGTTCCCACCCCTCCTTCCATGCCCTCTGGCTAATAGGTGCTCAATAAATGCAGCTCACTAAGCCATGTGATCTTGGGTCCTATCTAATATCTGTGTGCCTTGGTGAGCCTCAAGAGCAAAAGGAGGATAACACAGCCTTTTACTGAATGAGGTGACACCTGGAGAGAGCTCCCACAGGCCTCACCCACCATGGCTGTGGATCCCCAAAGACTCATGACGGCACCATGGTTGCAAAAACAGGACCTGCCTGTGCCTCCAATGCTCACATGTCTGCAGATTTACCTGATTCATAGACGGGATCTTGTCCCACTCGTTCTTCACTGGGTTATACACATCCACCTCGGCAGAGTCATCCCTGTGTGGGGCAGGACAGCTGGTCAGAGTGAGGAGGAAGTCCCCTGGGTGTGAGGGGCTGGCGGTGACATCCCTCAAACCACTTCCTTGGGCTCTTATGATACCTGTAGCAGCTCCTTGCTCTTAGGAGTGATTCTAGGCTCTAAGACTCCTGGACCCAAAGATCATGCCCCTGGGTGCTTGAAGCCTGTCAGCACCTAGGACTTGCCCCCACTGTGGCCACAGTGGCTCCCTTCAGACCTTGCTGGCACCATATTCCTTCCTACCTCAGGGGTCGAACCACCGCACCCTCCCCAGCCTCCTGCTCAGCCTCCTGATTCTGACCTGAGCCACTTTTTCAGGTCATGTGCTCTGGACCATTCCTTGCCACTGTCCTGCGCATTGCCATGAATCCCAACCCTGTCCCATTTGCTGCTGCATCCCTGGTTTCCAGCAGTTCCAGGAACAAAGACCCCAGCAATGCGCCCTTCACTTTGAGACCAAGAACTTTCAACCCCATTTGCTGCCCTCCGTGTCTCCCCTCCCCCCACGCATTAAAGGGCTCAACTGCACAGCCTTGAGAAGAAAAGACACTAAGAAAAAAAAAGGGCCCGGCAAGGTGGTTCCTGCCTGTAATCCTAGCACTCTGGGAGGCTAAGACAGGTGGATTGCTTGAACTCAAGAGTTCGAGACCAGCCCAAGTAAGAGCAAGACCCTGTCTCTAAGAAGAGCTGGGTGTTGTGGCAGGCGTCTGTAGTCCCCACTACTTGGGAGGCTGAGGCAAGACAATCACTTGAGCCCAAGAGTTTGAAGTTGCTGTGAACTATGACACCATGGCACTCTACCAAGGGTGACAAAATGAGACTGTCTCCAAAAGAAGAAAGAAAGAAAGAAAGAAAAAAAAAAAAGGAATAGACAGGGTGATGATCACAGGTTAGGGGTCAGCAAATGGACCAGACAAGGACGTGGCAGTGCCGGATCAGCCATGACGAGCAGGCTGGCTGTGTGCCGACAAAACTTCATTAGCAGAGACAGAAATGTGTATCTCATGTAACTTTCTGTGTTGTGAAATATGACTCATCTGGATTCCCCTCCACAGCCATTTCAAAATGTAAAATCCATCCTCAGTGTGTGGCCCATGTGATGACTACGATGCAGAGGCCGCCCCCACTTCTTCCCCAGCAGATGAGCAAGCTGCAGGCAGGGTGCCCCACAGCACAGGCAGCCTCCCCTGGGCTGCTGCACTCCAGCCACGGGCCACCTGTGCCCAAACCAAGATGGGGCACTGCTGGGGCAGGAGACCAGGACAGCAGCCCTCTCACTGATGATGAGGGCACCGGCGCTGTGGGCCCCACATAGCACAGGCAACTATCAGGATAGCTCCTCTGGAACTGCTCAAAATAGATGGCATTCCAGGGAGGCAACTGTGTGGCTCACAAAGAACTGAAGTGCACACGTAGGGCAGTGTTGGGACAAACCCTTAAGGGGCACCACCCAGGCCCTAGCCCTGTCCCCACTCCCCAGATCTCCTCCTTCCTCCAGAACAGCCTCTGCTTCCAGGCCTGCCAGGCTCCCCTCCTCTCCTGCAGGTCACTGGTGGGACAAACACTTCTAGAGCACACTCTCCTCCCACCTGCCCCCTGGCTTGAGTGCACCCCCTGAGAAGGCCAACAGCAGGTGTCGGGGGTCCCTAATGCTTCCTTATGGGGTGGTTTGGCAACTGAAAGCTAGTGCCTGCCCTTGGACCCGAGCTGCCGGGCTGTGGGACACTCTCAAAGGCACTTGGCTTGGAACTACTGTCTGCCCAGGGCTGAAGCGAAGGTTCTGGCACTCTGATGGGTTGTATTTATAGACATCTCCACCTCCTCTTTGAAGACACCTCCACGACTTGGGGGGGGGGTGGTGGGGAGAGCTGAGGCAAGGCTCAGAAGGTATCTTCTAATGGGACCAGAGCTGGCTGAGAGATTAAGAGCAGTGCAGGGAGGAGCCTCTGGAGGGGTGGGGGTGGGGCTGACAAAGGCCAGCACATGTCCTCTAATGCTCCCAGGTCAAAGCCCCAGATCAACGGGGCATAGGGATACTATCATTCATTCATTCCCCTTCCCTCCTTGTCCCACAGCTTCAAGGCAGGGTCTAGGCCAGGGAGGGAATAGCAGCTGTGTGAACAGCAGTGTGCAGCAGTGTCCAGCACCCTCCCAATGAGCCCTAACCAGTCATGAGGGAATATCTGACTGTGACAGGATATTGAGACCAGTAGACACAGTGACCACTGGCTGCTCAGCTCTGCTCTGTCCTTTCTCTGAAAGGACTTAACTCCATCACCCTTGGGATGGCTTGACTAAGGAAACTGGGAACTGCGCTGAGAAAAGGGTAAACAAACATGCTGGGGTCAGAAGACTCAGAATCCCAGCTTGGCCTCAGTTTCCTCATCTATGAAATGGGGAAAACAGTGCTCATGTCTTTAGCACAGGGCCTGCTAGGAAACACCAAGCACACAGTGAACCAGGCACCTGGGGACTCACCTGACAAAGTACATGAGTCCATTCAGAGTCACGGTCTTGGGGGCGAAGGACCAAGGAGGGAGCTGACCACAGTCCACCAGTGACCACAGGTCCGTGTCTGGGTTGTAGCACTGCATCACCATGGTCTCCTTGCCAGCCAGGGAGCCGATGGCGTAGAGCCGGCCACGGCAGGCAGTGGTGGAGCAGTTATCCATGGGGTAGGCCATGGGCTGCAGAGCCTCCCAGGAGTCAGTTGTGTGGTCATAACGCTCTGTGCTGTCGGCGGCCACCACGTAGAGCAGTCCGTCCAGCACAGAGGAGCTGTGGTACTCGCGGGCTTTCAGCATGGGCGCCACCTCTGTCCACTCATTCACACTTGAGTTGTATCTCCACACGCAGTCATAGAGCCGGGAGCCATCGGACCCGCCTGCCGGATGCACAATGGGCAGATCGTCAGCCCACTTGGGGTGAGTCACTCGCTGTGCCTTCCTGAACTTTTGTGTTCCTGAACTGGGGGAGGGCCTCTCCCTGGGGAGGAATTACCCTCACTGGGCTTCATCCTAACTCATATCCTCTCTCCCTGAAGCCAAGGCCAGAAGCTCCATGCTGTGGCTGGGGCAACCCACACGCTGACGGTCACTAACTGGGACACCTCTGTTGGTCTGGCAAAGGCCCCAGTGCAATCCTAAACAAACACTCAGTCTCCATCTGGGACCCCCACATACAGACACCTCAAGCTGACCAGAGCACCGGGCCTCAGGGGCAGTCGTCCCAGGGAGCCACCAGACTGTGGGTGTCAGGCACAGGCATTTTACCAACCCTAGGCCTCCTCTAAACCAAGAGAGGAGGGGAGAGGAAACCAGTAAGAGACCAAGCCTAATGCTACAAGGGCACTTGTGGGCTTCTGGCTCCTAATTTTGCTGCAGGTAACCAAGGTGGAAAAATATATCATATGGCTCTGTAACCGTAGCACAGTGGTTACGGTGCAGTATGACAACTGCAACAAAAAAACAGCTGAGTGTTGTGGCGTGTGCCTGCACTCCCAGCTACTCGGGAGGCTGAGGCAAGAGAATCGATTAAGCCTAAGAGTTTGAGGTTGCTGGGAGCTGTGACGCCACGCACTCTACTGAGGGTGACATAGTGAAACTCTGTTTAAAAAAAAAAAAAGAAAAAGAAAAACTCACCACTTTATGTGAGTATGATACAGATACTTATCTCTGTTTTTTACTTCAATAAAAAGTAAAAAAACAAAAAAAGCAGTGCTGGCTGTAACCATGAATGATACTGTATCTACTAAGGATATAAGAATCCCTGCTCATGAAGGAACCCTAAGAATTCAGGGGCTGCAACTCTTTGTCTCCAAGGCTGGCGCCACAGGACAGACCAGACAAGACATTCTATCTGTCCCACAGCCCTCGCTTTCAAAGGGAGAAGACAGAGTTCTTATAAAGTCACTCTGCTGGCCTCCTTTGCAAAGGAGAGCTATGTCGAGACGGCCGAAGCCAGCTTTCTCAGCCCTATGAAATTCCCTACTGGCAGCTGAGTGGAATAACCCAGCCACCTGCCTAAACTCAAAGGATTAACTGCTCAGCTATGACATGTATGGAAGGGTGAGCAGGAAGCTGGGACAAGTCTGGCCAGTTCTGGGAAGGAGTTCTTTGCTCACAGTCACTGGCTAGACTGTGGGGAGGGTGGGGGAAGTCCTCATCTAACATGGAGACAACTTCAGATTGGACAGAGAAATAGATTCTAGCAGAGGCTGGCCCTGGACTAGGCCAAGGAAGTTGTGGCCAGAGAGCCAATGGTTTCCCTGGGCTGGGATGTGTCCCACTTGGGAATGCTACTGCATGCCTCAGAGTGGCTCTTCTCCCTACTGTCCCAGGCAGGGCACAGTGGCTGTGATAACACATCCCTAGCTCCCTGCCTGGTATCAGAACCTCCAATGCTTGCCTGGTTGGTTCTTTCCTTATATAGCAGTCACAGAGACCTCCCCTCCTCAACCCCTGGGAAGGAGGTAGCCTCCTGTTTGAACAGGGATTTATCTTTCATAAAAAATGTGGGAGAAGCCCAGGAATCAGGCGGGCTGAGACCCGCCCACTATGACTTGGCAGGGTTTTGAGGTCTGGGCCAAGGAACTGGAAGAAAACTTCTGAACATAACATGTGACCATGTTTACAGTTGCTGGCAAACTCAGCCTAAACGCCATGTGACCACACCAGAGCCTAGGTGCAAGTCCAAGGGAACTTGGTAGGGGTGACACCGAGTGAGTCAGGAGGCCCCACGGGGTCCAGCTGGGAGGGAGAAATCCCTGCGGGGAAAAACGGCTGAGGCGTCCCGGGTGTAAGCCCTGCGCCCTGACCTGGATTCTTTAAGAAGAAAAAGAAGGCACCCATTGTGCGAGCTGAATGTCCCAGTACCTTCCAACAAATGTGGGGCGGCACCTTCGGGACAAGGAGTTGGCTCAGCCTGGCAGGCCTGCCGCACGAGTCACAGTAGTTACTTGTCCTCACTCACAAAGGGGTCTTTATTCAAGGTTTAAAGTATCACTCGAGGAAACGTAGTTACCCATTTTCCACCTTGGACTCAGGAGTGGCTCTCGGATTTCAGGTCCTGTTTCTCCTGTAGGCAGGTGAGCTACCCCAGGGGTGGCGCAGGCCCACCCTAGGGATCCCCGGTGGGGGCATCTCTCTGATCAGCCCCCACCCGACTTACCCGTCACGTAGATATCATTGCCCAGCGCCACGATGCTATAGCCCCCGCCCAGGTGGTCAGGGAACTCCGCCAGGTAGCGCCACTGACCCGTCTGTGGGTTGTAGCAGTCGACAGTGACCAGCTCATCACAGTCTTGGTCGCAGCCGCCTACGAGCACGAGGATCTCGGCGAGGCCCGTAGAGGGGCGCGGGCGCATGCGGGGGCAGGGCCCGCGGTCGTGGCGGTCATAGCGAGCCGCCTGGAAGTCGCGCGCCTCGCGCAGCAGGCGCAGGCAGGGCGGGCAGCGCGCCACCAGCGGCTCGGCCTCGACGTGCGCCAGCAGGTAGAATCGGCGCACGAAGGGCAGGCGCACGGCCTCCAGCAGCTGCGGCCAGTGCGCGGCGCGGCGCGGCGGGTCTGCCCGGACCCAGCGCAGCGCCAGCTGGTAGGCGGCCTCCTCTTTGGGCACGCATAGCCCGTCGTCGCGCAGGTAGCGCAGCAGGCGCGCTAGCGGCAGCCGCTCCAGCTGCTCTGCGCCCAGCTCGCCCACGTGGCGCAGTATGAAGCGCTGAGCCGCGCTCGCCAGCCCAGCACAGCTGAAGGCCTCGGCGAAGTCCTGCATGTCCAGGCAGTTGGTCAGGTCAAGCTGCTGCTGCAGGAAGGCGCCGCACGCCTCCTTCACGGCCGGGAACTGCAGCAGGTCGGCGGCGCGCAGCAGCGGCTCAGCGTTGTCGCCGCTCACCGCCACGCGGCCAGTGTAGCTAAAGTCGAGCAGCAGCTGCAGCATGTCGGGCGGCACTCCGTGCAGGCGCACCCGCTCGGCGCGGCTCTCGCGCAGCTGCCCGGCGAACATGGCGCGGAAGTAGGGGCTGGCGGCGGCCAGCACTGCGCGGTGCGCGGGGAAGTCGCGCCCGCCCGCGGCCTCCAGGGTCACGTCCAGGAACTTGCGCTCGGCGCGGAGCTGGCTCAGGCCGCGCAGTAGGCTTAGGGCGTGCGCAGGGTCCGAGAAGGGAAGCACGGCCAGGGGCGCTGGCCGCTCCATGGTGTCTGGAATCCGGGACTCTGGAACACCGCGGCCAGGGCCTGCGGGGAGACGCGGCACGCCCGACATCGCCGCTATAAATACGGCTGGCGCCGCGGCCTCCAGGGGGCGGGCCCGGGACGGGCGGGGCACCGCCTACTTAACCCCTCCGAGCTCGATGCCGCGGCGCTCCCGGCCGTCCGCCCCAGCGCGCGAGCTGGCCTCGGCTGTGCCGGGTGTTCGCTCCAGGCTCTCCGGGCTGAGTCACCGGCGCCTGCGCCGCCTCCCTCCCTCCATTCGTCCTTTCGGGGTTTCCTGTTCCTTCCTTCTGAAGCCCAAGAGGGGATCATGGATGACAAGCGCCAGTTCTGAGGACAGCCCCTCAGTGCGCGGGTCCAGGGATTTCCTGGGCCTGCCCACTAGCCACCAGGGCCGGCTGCCGAACAAAACCCAAGGAGGCGAGTGCGGCGCCCGAAACCGAAGCCACCCCTTTTCGCGCCAGGCTTCCCAACTGCGCGGGACCCGGAGCCCCAGGACAGCTTGGTACAAAGGCTTTGTTTTTGTTTTTGAGTTCACTCCTTTCTAGGCTTGCTTCAGAACCCCATAACGGGACAGATTCAAACGATAAGATTTCTACAGTTCAAAGACCAAAGCACGAAAAAGTATAAAGGTTTTCAGTTACGTTTTTTCCTGGAGTATTTGTAAGTGACTCAGGGCCAGATTCCAGGATCTGGTCTCTACTGTGTCAAACTCAACAACACAGTCATTAACTCCTGTCTATTTAGGAGGCAGAGCTTTAGTTTCTGAGTCAGAAACGGGCTCCAGAGCTGCCACCCTGGCCTTCCTCGCAGCTTTTTTTGTTCCATTAGACGGGTACTGGGGTTTGCAGGATGTCAGCTCAAGGTCAGACGCAAACTGCCTAAAAAACTAGATGAGGCCAATGGCCCGAGACACTGCCCCTTGTGCCGTAATGGAATGGTGAAGGAGGGAATCCCCCTCATTTTAGTCCCAGTAGATAACAATACCACTTTGAACATAATGGGGGGGGGAACGCTCCCTCACTTGGAAGCCATTTTTTCTTTAGTTTAAGGTATGCATTGCTTGGTTTTAGAGAAGACCCCTAATTCACCTTCAGTGTTCCTGTTTTGCAGAGGACCAGTCCTCTCCCCCGCCTCCCGCCCCCCGCAGCCGCTGGGCCTTTATAAAGACATTCCTGGTGAAGGCGCCCGCCCACGTGGGGCCCAGGGCAGGCCTTGCACACTGGGACTTGGCTGTCATTCCTTGGTTCTGGGTAGGTCGGCGCAGTCTTTGGAGAAGACATTTTGTTTTTATTCCCTCTCTGAAATGAGAACTGTAGTCTTTCTCTTCTACTTGAGAACCTCACATCATCTTGCCCTGAGAATGCATCTGGTCTAAATTTCAGGGTCAACATGGGGAGCACAGGCCCAAGTAAGAAAACATTCAGGTACCCAGGCCAGCAGTCTGTTGCCCATAGAAGGACTGTTTGCACAGCTATAAACGGCCCAGCAGCATTCCTTGGCCCAGGAGCCTGACCAATAGCTTACTTGCTCAGGCTTTGTGACAGAGTCTTGAGTAGTCAGGAAGTGGGATGTTTGTAGGGGAAAAAACTAGTCTCTCAGGGTCAGCTCATCCACCTTGTGAAAAATCCAGCAATTAAATCTGTAGTGTTTCTATCGTTGAAAATTGAGTGTTTTTTTTGCATTCCTAACAACAGGGGGTTTTTAAACAACTGTGTCTGCTCCTGGAAGAATAATGATGTAGATATTTATTGAAACAGAAAGAGTTCACACTGTGTGTAAACTGAAAAATCAGATTACTCATAGCATGACCCAGTTTGTTTCTTATATATGTTCTTATGCCTAGAAAAAAATTGTGAAGTTAACAGGTTTTTTTAGGTGGTCAAGTTCATTTCGGTTTTGCTTACATATTTTTTCTTTCTGTACTCAACATACAAAATAAGAATATTGTCTATTAAAATAAGTTCAAAATAAAATTTCAGTTCTTAAGAAACGTATTATTGATATCTCAGACCCAACAGGCAAGCGTTTGAAACCATGTGTATATATTAATAGTTAAGCCCATAAAAGAAAGGAGAGGATTTAGATTCTATCAGCTGTGTTTGGAATTTTGAACAACCTACTAACCCAGGCATGCTACTTAATTCCTCCTTTTGCTTGTCAGTCTCATGCATTCAAAATTAGAATGTGAGAAACTCATTGATCTTAGAATGACAACGCCATTGATATAGTCAGCCAACTGTATTAATTAAGATGATTTAAACTCTTCCAAGATCATCCAACTTAATGGTGTGGTAGAAACATTGTTTGGTGAGGATGATGTTAACAAGACCAAACAGTAGTTGTGGGGGAGATGTTTGTATTTATAGATTAAACTTCAATCTTGGCCTGGCACCTTGTCTCAGGCCTGCAAACCTAACACCCTGGGAGGCTGAGGCAGGTGATCACCTGAGCTCAAGAGTTCAAGACCAGGGCTCAGCGCCTATAGCTCAACCGGCTAAGGCGCCAGCCACGTACACCTAAGGTGGCGGGTTCGAATCCCCACCCCGGACCCGCCAAAACAACAATGACGGCTGCAACCAAAAAAAAAAAAAAAAAAACAAAATAGCTGGGTGTTGTGGTGGGCGCCTGTGGTCCCAGCTACTTGCGAGGCGGAGGCAGGAGACTCGCTTGAGCCCAGGAGTTGCAGGTTGCTGTAATGCCACGGCACTCTACCCAGGGGGACAGCTTGAGGCTCTGTCTCAAAAAAAAAAAAAAAAAAGAGTTCAAGACCAGCCTAAGCAAGAGGGAGACACACACCTCCACACCCCTACTAAAAATAGAAAAACAAGCTTGGGATTGTGGTAGGGTGCCTGTACTCCCAGGTACTTGGGAGGTTGAGACAGGAGGAGGCTTGAGCCCAAGAGTTTGAGGTTGCTGTGAGCTATGATGCCACAGCACTCAGCCCCAGGGCAAATGAGTGAAGAACTCTGTTTCAAAAAAATATCTATAAGTTTATTCTAAAATTATGAAAATCTTTGCCTAAGTACCTTGTTTAAAATCATGTGATTTTTTTTTTTGAGATAGCATCTGACTCAGTTGTCCCAGACTAGAGAGCCATGTGTCATCAGCCTAGCTCACAGCAACCTCCAACTCCTGAGTTCAAGGGATCCTCTTGCTTCATTCTCCCATGCAGCTGTGCCTACAGATGACCACCAACGCCAGGCTAGTTTTTCTATTTTTAGTAGAGCTTGGGTCTCACTCTTGCTCAGGCTGCTCTTGAACTCCCTGAGCTCAAGGGATTCTCAGGCCTCTGTCTCTGCCAGAGGCTAGGATTATGGGCATGAGCCACCAAGCCTAGCCCTGATAATGTGATTTAACGAACAATTGTACTGTTTATTCACTTTTTTTTTTCTGAGACAGAGTTTCACTATGTCACCCTAGGTAGAGTGCCATGGCGTCACAGCTCATAGCAACCTCCAACTCTTGGGCTTAAGCGATTCTCTTGCCTCAGCTTCCCAAGCAGCTGGGGGTACAGGCGCCTGCCACAACGCCTGGCTATTTTGTTGTTGTTGTGGTTGTCATTGTTGTTTGGCAGACCGGGGCCGGGTTCAAACCCTCCAGCCCCAATATATGTGGCCAGCTCCCTAACCACTGAACTACTGGTGCTGAGACTATTTACTTATTTTTTTAAAGACAACTTCTTGTTGTTGCCCAGGATAGACTGCAGTGGCATATGGTAGCTCACTGCAGCCTCAAACTCTTAGGCTCAGGTGATCATCCTGCCTCAGTCTCCTGAGTAGCTTAGGATGATCAGATTTTAACATTTGTAAAGCGGGACAACAAGCTGGGGGTGGGGGGGGTAGGGTGGGCTGGGGTGGGAACTGGGCAGGGCCTGACAACAATGCAAACTTTGATAAACAGTTCTCGATGATCACTTCTCAACTATTATTTGTTATTATTACAGTTTAACATTATAAAACTAACAAAAATAATATAAAACTCATATTCTGGCGAAATAGCCACATGGCAGCCGAAAACCGTATATTCCCTTCCTGTTCTCCCGCCCATTTGCGCATTCTTTCAAAAAATTGGGACTTTTTTAAAACGCTGCAGGACATGAGACAAATTGTTAAAAAGTGGGACGTCTGGTCACCCTAGAGTAGCTGGGACTATAGGTGCGCACTGTGACACTCAGTCAATTTGTGTATTTTATTTGTTTATTTGGAGGTAGAGTCTCATTTTGTTGCCCAGGCTAGAGTGCAGTCCTGTCAGCCTAGCTTACAGCAACCTCAAACTCCTGAATTCAAGTGATCCTCCTGCCTGGAGTACCTGGGACTACAAGTGCCCACCACCAGATCAGATGATTTTTCTATTTTTAGTAGAGATGATCTCGCACTTGTTCAGGCTGGTCTTAAACTCCTGAGCTCAAGGGATTCTCAGGCCTCTGCCTCCCAGAGTGCTAGGATTATAGGCATAAGCCACCTTGCCCGACCTAATTTATTTTTTATTTTATTTTATTTTTTTTTTCTGATACAGGATCCTCAAGCTGTCCCCCTGGGTAGAGTGCCGTGGCATCTCAGCTCACAGCAACCTCCAACTCCTGGGCT